TTATACTGCTTGTCTGCCGGCTTTCTCTTACATCCATGTAAACATGGAGAGAAAACTATCGAAATAAACCCCAAAGCAATCTCCAGACTCAACTTTCCCTCAGAACAACTATGACAATGATGACAATGCAGTTTATAGCATATACTCTATATAGTAAAGGAAATCTTGCTGAAAATACAATTTATTTCTGTTTAGAATGTTGGAGAACCAATGTACAGTACTTGCGATGTATTTAAACTGAAGATAGTGTCAATTTAATCGGTACATTTGCAATTAAATACGTCGCATGGAAAATACACACAAGCTGTATTTAGATACTGTGCCTTTCAGCAAGCCTTCAGGACATCCTCAAGGTTGTAATGACACAAATATATAGTCAACTTAGAAGTGCTGGAAAACTGTTTGTAGTTGAAATAAAACAGTGAGTCCGATGCTGTAGTATTTCTGTCCCTGCAAATACCCAAGATCAATGGGAGCGGACTAGGAGCCGTATAGAGACAGGCGTTTGACACAGGTATGTTCAGAGAGACCGTATAAGAAGTGTTTTTTTCAACATAACTTGATTGTTAACATATTTTCTTCACTATGGTACATACAAAATGTCCTGCTGTACTGCGGAATTGTCTTGTCTCACTAACCTAAAGCTATGATTTAAGGATTGCAAGATTTATTTTAATGAGTTTTTATATGACGAGCAATACCACTTAACCATATTAAATTGTTGTTAACAGGAACACAATAAGAGTATAAAAGATTACAAAACAATTACGTCAAATAAAACGGGAGACATTAAAGTTTCATTGATGGTTTAACTTTTTTAACGGACTATACATTTGTTAAAGGCCTTGATGTACAGTTGGCCTGGAAATGTATGCCTAGAGTAAGTAAGTAAACATACATCTAAGTAGTTCCAACAATAAATTGCCAAACTTGATTTATTACTTTTAAACAGAAGGTTGACATAAATTAATTTGATTAGGTAAAGAAATTGGCCTGAAGTGACCCGGGATCGGATCGAGTTGATTGCAACTACTTGGACAATAAATAATGACGTCTAATGTCATTCTTTCTCATAAGTCACGGTAAAATAGGAAGTCCACTTGACATGATGTTGTGTGCACTCGGCCCTGGTGATACTCTGTATGCAGGCCTTGTGGCGCAAAATGCCACCGTAATGAAAGCAAGGTGTTGAGGGTTAATTGATAAATCTGAGGTCCTGAGTAGGAAGGAGTTTGGCAGGGGGAATATTTTACGGCTGTGCAAATGAAGGGGCTGCAGCGTTTTACACATGCCATAAAATGGTTATGGAGAATTTGCGTTCTCTATCTCACCGCAACAACCGAGACATTAATGCAGCTTAGCTGGGGAGATGGATGGGCGTGATAACGTATCAAATACATACGGAGACAGACACATTAAAAGGTGGACACTGGTCCAAAGGTGGTGCTGCCCCTGTCCCGCCTAATTCCATTGTCTCTACTTGGCCTATTTCAGTCTAGAAATTAATTGCTAATGGGAATTCTGTTCCCAGTAAAAAATACCCCTCATCAGTTGCATGCGTCATGGTGATACATTGAGGCTGAGGCTGTTAAGAGTAGGCCATGTGTGTATTTATGAAAACACACTTTTCCGGTCCCTGTCGCCTGATGCTTTGCACCCACATCATAAAAAATGATGATAATAAAGCCCCAACAGAATGAGAGTGTGTTTTGTGGCAAGAGGAGGTAGAGTGGACAATGCCGTTGCAACATTAAAGTGCGTGGCAAGGCAACATGTATTCAACTGTGTGCACGTGATTGCCGCTCAGTAAAGCAGCGATGCCTGATGCATCTGTTCCGCTGTGTGTCCGTGTGTGTTGGTTCTGATCGGACGCTAGCCGTTGAAACCTGTGACGGTTATCAGTCTAATCCGAGGGGAAGGAAATGCTTGCAGCGGAGACAGACACAGACGTGACCACTCAGTGTACTTGATTAGCACGTAGCCTCCTAATTAGCCATCCTCTATGGTTACAGGCAGTACCGCTGGTGACATGGCCACAAAAGTAGCATGGGCAGAGAGGGCTTTCCCATCTCTGCATTTGAAATTAGACATCGTTGGTGCAATGAGCTTGTGCAGAAACTAATCCTTTCAATATGTTATAGAACAATGGACGGCAATATTAAACGTTACAACGTTAAGAGGTTTAGGCAATCGCTCACACAACTCGCTTATCTTCATAGCAAAGAAATCTCAAGATAATTCATATTCGTCCTATGTGTGTGTGTTACCTAAATAAAGCAGTGCCCTTTTAACCATTGATTCAGTATTATTTCAAACAAGATCTGAATTAGCCCTGCATGGAGGAAGGTTGCAGTCCGGTTAAATGATGCATGTTCACTCATTTAGGCAGCCAGCATCACTACGTCAGTATGATAGAGCAGAAACAGTAGGGGTGCAGAGCTCTAATTATTGAAGGGGGTTAGTTCCATGCGCCCCCCAAAACATACAACTATGCATAAATTTGATCGAACAAACATTCATAGACGCTCACTAAACTTATCATCCCTTTTCTCTGTTATAGCACTGCTCTTGGAAACTGAGAAGTTGAGGCAAGGACACATGGACGCTGGAGAAAGGGCAAGCACTACACGGACCCCGTTGGTTTAAGGTGGGGCCGTTGGGAGGTGGCGACTTGCATCTGTCTGATCACATGTGGATGTCTTGACACACTGTGCTAAATTTGCCTTGGTAGATTTTCCTGCTCGGATACAGATGGCTGAGGTAAATAAAGGACGAGGACTCATGGGCTATTTCTAGGGCCTGGTTTGGTTATGCTGTGTGCATACTGCCAAGAGCTGTGATGGTCAAGCCAAAGAACCTCGGTCTGGAAATAGGAAAAACAACTGGGCTATGCTAATGATGAGGCTTCTGGCTGTGTAGAGGGCTGAAGCAAGGCTAAGGGTGATGATTACAAGTTGGGCTAGGTAATGTGGCAGAGGCTGGGTGCGAGGGCTGTGGCAGGGGTTTGAAAATAATTAGGAGCATGGCTGGGTAACATAGCTTGATAATGTGGCTGCGGGGAGGCTGGCTGGGCACAGTATGAAGATGATGAGTACCAGGGTTGAGCTGTCCACTCCATTGGCCCTATGAGCTGTGACAAGAAGCTCTGCTGGCTTCTGCTGTAGCTGGGGGTGATGCCAGCGATAGGACTAATGCACTAATTACCACAGAATGAGAAAAGAAAGAGCGTAAACAGAGGTAGAGAGACACAAAGAGATGGAGCATCAGACAAAGAGGCGGAAGGGGGAACGTTAGATCGGATGAGCTCTGAGTGACAGCGGTATGACATGACTGGGCTGAGAGCATCTTTATCAACAACATCCTACACAGCAGCAGTGGTATTATCAAAGAGAAAAGCGAGGTCAAGTTCAGCCAGGAGGTATGAATGTGTGACTCGTTGTGCACTATGCATACGCATAGGATTTGCGTAAACCATGCATACCACACACTTGCCATTGTTTGTTTTGTTGGAAATATGGTTCAATGATGACTTGCAACGTTTTGACTTGCAGCCAGCAATTCCTTTCAGCTTCGGCAAATTGTCCACGTGGAGGTTCTACAACTCAAAACACACATCAAACAAACAAAAAAAACGGACTGCAATTTGAATAGATATCGTATCAATGAAAACCTTCATTTACCACACATGCTCAAACATAAAACCCCTCCAAGCTTTCCATCAATACTGTATTTTACACATATAGCGTAGTTGCAAGGAGCAAAACTGATCTTACTCCCCCGGCCCCTGTTGTCAGCTGCATGAGACCCTATTCTCCCGCCCACTCACTCCACTTTTTTATTTATTTCCACCTCCTGGGGCTGTGTTCGTTCATTCCCGTGCCGCTGCTCCCTCCTTCTTCCCTTTGCTCCTCTCGCTTTCTCTCTCTCTTGTTTCACTCCTTGTTTCCGGGCAATTGGGTCTGGGTGCTGGTGGTGGGGGGTAAGAGGCTGGGGTGGAGCTGCTGGGAACTTTGTGTGCTTGCATGTGTGTGTGTGCGTGCGTGCTGGGAAGTGAGCTAATAAAGGACGGTGATCCATGAAAGGCCTTGAGCAAAGACACAGTCAATTACCTAATGCCTGGACCAGACCGCAGGGCCCACGCACATACATTCTCTCTCCTATATACCTATACTCACACACACACACATGCATACACCTCATTTACGTATACATGGAGAGGGGGCAGTGGAGGGCATAACTGGGAATTGTGTGTGGGTGGGTGTGCATATGTGTGTGATGGAGAGTGGCGATTTATTAAATTGCTGTCACTTTTGACAAATATGTGCAACTCAAGTTGAAAGGGTTAGGATGTGCAGCATCTCTGTGTTTCCTCCTTTCTTTAAGAATAAAATAAACCCAGGCATAAACCTGGGATAAACCATCGGTTGCTATGAGTCAGAACGGGGTGAGGAAGTGTCGTCTGACCTGGCTCAATGTTCCAGCTCTAGACCGGAGTTAAACAGGTGTCGGACATTTATTGAGTTTGATGTGAAAAGGACAACCGGTTTCTATAACAGCTGTATGATCACTTTACAATTATTATTACATTACTACAAATCTACAGCAGACTTTAGAGGCTCTTTGCATTTCAATCATATATTTTACCATTGTCGACCTCAGGGACATTTTTGATGCCTGGAGTTTAGGTTGTTGCATTACCATGAAAAGACATTTAAATGAAAATTAAAAGAACCCTCTACTGAATAATGTTGAATACTGCAATAAGAGAAAAACAAAAGTGCCATCTGTACGAAAGATACATTGAAACATCTTGCATGATTGTAAAGGCGTTAGAGAAAAAAACGTTGACTGTGTCGAGGCAGAGAAGGAAACATTCATCAGCTCTGCATCCATGCGTAGCATTGCGGCTAGGTGGCTCCAAAGCTAGCTAGACCGGATAACTAAAAGGATAATAATAATACCACAAATAATGAGGTTTGTGTTTGCTGTTTTTAACCTACCTCCTCTCGGGGTTAGTAAGTAAATCCACTATCTGAAGCTCTTCGAGGCGGCTGACTGAATAGGAGAGTTTCTGCTGTGGCTCGGATGGTGGAGTATACTTCCTGTTCCTCTGGTTGGCGAAAAAGAAAAACAAGGACACAAGTTTGTCATCTAGGTTTCAGTTCATGAAGTGGATGCTTTTTATTGATTATTATATAAACTGCACTGCAATTGTTTTTTATTTTAAGCTAGTTCTAATGTTTCAATCAATACTCTTAATTGGTTTCAAATGTTCCTTTTTAAGCATATATACACTGTTGAAAATGAAAGAAAAAAATGAAATCTTCTAAAAACGTTTCTGGCTTGGGATTATATACGAGTCGCTTTAGTAGTCAAATTTTGTTTGCAAGTGGATGTTTGTGTGCGTGCGTTGCAATACGTCTCACAATGTGCCAGTGGGGATTGTGACTGACAGGCGTTGTCGAAGCTGATTCTGGGCCTTCTCCAGGTGTGTGTAGGAGGTCTGCAGACGCAGCCTCAGGTCGGGGCAATGCACACGCTGCTCCCACACCGCCCCTGGCTCTCTCAACCAAACCTGCCATAATCACAACCACCAGCACAGAGACAGACACACGAATGAGATAATGATCACTGTATATTTCTGTCTCAGACCTTAGCCTCTCCCTCTGATCCCTCTTCACAGAGAGAGATGGCTTACAGCTCAAACCAGAGGGCAGTCCTCTTCATCTCTCCTCCTGTGACACAACGACCAAGAGAGAATCAGAGAAAGGGGGAAGAAGGAGGTGTCATAGTGATGAAAATTCAATCATGCAAGAGAGTGAGGAAACAAGGAGGCCGGGCCTGGCAGAGTTAAAAGTGGGGGACGCAGAGCGAGGACAAGAGCTGCAAAGAGTGACCAAGATGGCGAAAGTAGCAGAAAACAGGCACAACTACTAGTCCGCTTAGCTTTGGAGATACTCTTCGCCTACTTAATGCTTTAATATGCTCTTTTTATCCACATTCCTTCCCTTTATTTATTAATGTTATTGGGATTTGTTTTCATGTGTCAGGGATCCCCTCAGCATTTAAGCCCTAAGCAAAAACACGTACAAAAAAATTAAGGCAATTTCATTGTGACTGGCATCTAACTTATATATATAATATATATATATATACATCATATACATTCAACAGTTTGAACAGTTTAAAGCGTGCATTGTTGGTTTGTTCTGTTCTGGAGATTTCTTAACACTGAATGAAAAAGATAACAGAATACAGTCACCATCTTTAATTTGATGCTAAACTTCTGAGCGATTCAAGGTGATATTCTGGGACCTAAAGTCAGCTAAACTTCAAACAGCTGTCCATCAATTGCAATCCTTGTACATATTCTTGACATTGTGGCTCCTACCCTGGAGTGATGGGTTTCTGAGTGGCATATCAAAGTTGCAAAAACAAAGAAATGTTGTTTTTAGTAACAGGTTTTTGAGCCTTTCTCTTTCTAACCTCACCCCCACCCTCCTTACATCGCCTTGAGACCGTGGTGCTCTTGTACTGAGGACATTGAATACACTTGAAACATATGTAATAGTTCTTAACCAATGAATACCAAAGTTATCTCTTGGAAAAAGAAATCTGTCCATTTGTCTATTTTCTTTTCAGCTGCAAGCTACAACTGTTACTGTTGTTGTTAGTTGTAGATGGGCACATGTTCTTTTGTTATAGTGATGTTAAACTTTGTCCAGTACAGATGAACTTTGTTTGAGGTGACCTTCAGTTGTTTGGTGTTAAAAAAAGAGAGGGAGAATGACGAGGGAGAGATAGAGGGAGGGACGGGGACCCTGTCCTTGCTCCTATCGCCACGGGATCGCTGGCCTGGCCTGACCACTTCCACAGCCAGCACCTCAACCTTATCCATCACCACTAGATAGTTATCGCACCGGGGAGAGAGGGGCTGAGGGGCGTAGGGGTGAGTGCAAATCAGGGAAGGGGGACTTCTCGCACTAATCACGCACACTCAAAAAACAGAAACAAAGAAAGAGAGGGAGAAAGACAGATGCTGTAGATGTGTGTGTAAAATGTATTCTTCCTGATTAAACTCACTATAACTACAGGCAGCTGGAGACATGTGTCTGTTGTGCAGCTAACGAGACGAATCCACACCTCATTTCTACTCACTTATGTTTTACATTACTAGAAACTAATAATAAAGAAAGCGCTTTGCCATAAAGAGCAACAGAGCGTAAATAACACATAATGAAATGGCTCCTCATTAAATAATCAACATACACAGACGCACACACAAACGCTTGACAAAACAGTTAAATGCACAGCTTGACTCTGGTGAATTGGAGATTAGTTCTTAAAAAAGACCCATGTTGCCGTGTCTTCTAAATGTATAAGACGGTTGGATGTTTAGCCACACTAAGCAAGCAAGACTGTGTTTTTGAGTTGTCGATGCATCATTAACATGCCAACAGGAAGATCGCTTAAAAAAAAGGTATTAAGTCAATTTACGAACAAATCCTTGTGTGTCTGCCACAGCACGGACCTTACTGCTCGGGCAAGCCACATTGAATTGATGAGGAACACAAACGAAAGCTGCCCATGAGACACACTTTGGATACACACCCACACACTAAGGTGGACAAATGTTTGATTGTAACATGTAGACACACAGTCACACAAATACAGTAGTTCTCACAGAATTGCACTAAACACTAAACGGCTCCATGCACTAAGCCCCAAGAGGGCTGTCTGCAATGTTTTATTGATGTCATTGTTCTTTAAAAGGAGTTTCAAAGGATCTCAGTTTTTATTAAGAGGCATCTCAATTGAGACCAGAAAGGGATGTTAGGGGGCCTTTAATAATAAGTATGACACATTGTAAAAATTATTAGTGTCTTTCACCTCTTTTCTCATTCTTCCCCCTTATAGTCTCTTCTTTATTCTCGTCCTCTTATTGAGCTCTGTTTCTCGGCCTCCACCTGGTCATGTGGTTCGAGCTTGTAGCCTCTCACCTGCTGTTTCTTGATGGCAATGGGGGGCAGAGAAGGCCCGGAGGAGCAGTGAGTTCCAGTGTTGTCGATCCATGGGGGTCGAGGAGTCCCAGGGAAACTTGAGGCGGTTGGGTCAGGCACACCCAAGGGACAAGCCCTTTCCCTGCGGGGCCGCCTGGTGGGGGTCTGGTACTTGACCTGCCTCAGCAGCAGTTCCATCTCATGGGGAGCAGGCCTAAATGGAGAGTTGAAAACCCCAGGGCGCTGAGGGGAGAGAGAGAGAATAACCCCATATCATTAATAAAGTGAAGGATTTCAAGAGAGACAGTGTGTCAATATGAGCAATGTGATGTGATCAGAAGCATACATTTTGTCACTAACTATTCAATAAGATACATTTCGGACAGGCTGGATATTACCGGCGGCATATAAACTGTATTTTATTAGTTGCGTCATGCTTGTTGGGATTTGAGGCACCAGGTTGTTGTCCAGTGTGTTTTACTCCCCAAACACTATTCCAAAATCCATTTGGAGTTTTGGGAAATCTAAACATAATTTTGTGTATCAGGGGGACCATCAAATAATTGAATGGCCTCCTGCTGGTACAGCTTAAAATGAAACCAACAACTGTTACAAAACAGTTACAGGCAATATTCTGAGGTCATTAGAACAATCGGATTAAAAAAAAAAAACCTTCATGTAGTTTTTTTTATTCAACATTCCAATTTTTAATCCCCTTCATATTATCCACATGTACCTAAACTTTAAGAAATGTATCACTCGGTGTCTCTGTCAACAACAGTTGTCAGTGCCTCAAATGCATCCAACGTGGCTCCTGGCCAACCAAATGCTTTTGCCAGGTTAAATATTTGGCTAGAGCAGCTCAGTGTTGCACTTGACACAGATACATAGATAGCAACAAATTACTACAGAGAGAGCTCCACTGCATCCGTGTCAAATGTGGCATTATACAAGACTGGAATCTAGTTGTTCTCCAGAACAACACACGCACATATACACAAATAAAAAACTTTGCCTGCCCTGTTCTGAAGTGGGTAGAGATTTGCCACAGATGGCTTCAGTAATAATTATTCAAATCACAGTGATCCTTTTGCTTGAGTGTTAATTACCAGACCAAAGCTTTGAGTTGGAGGACTCCGTATCTACTCTATATGCTAATAACACCGCTTGCTATTTAGGCCACTCTAAAAGACTGGGACCAACGAAGAGAAAGGGCATAAGTGGGAATTGGCTCCTACTTTATCGACCCAAACCATAGTCTCTTTAAAATAACATTTTAACAGACTGGTTAATTAGTCAATGTTTCATTACAACATCATGAGTACTTGTGATTGTAAATGTCAAGTGTTTCAGGATGAGGAAAGAGGAATGACTTATAACACTTATTTCTTTAACAGTTGATGTAGACACAACTGCAATACAGCAGATGTCTATCTTATGGGTCCCTCTGGCTCAAAGCTGAAGTCAAGCTCAGGCATTATTTTTGTTTCAGATAGTAATTATTAATATAAAGTAACAAAAACAAAATGTATTGGATTTGTCAGCCTTCTAAAATGTTCCTGGCCACTCTGTGCCTCCAGAGAACCACTGAGGCTTGCACAAACTCCACCTGCTGCTACTGTAGTCCTTTTGCACGTTTCATTCTTTCAGAGCTCTAAATAAAAGGTCCTGACTTTTAAAATATATCACAACGACAAAATGGCAAATAAGAAAACACTTGACTGCAATCAAGCACATCAAGCACAATACACAGAGTGTATTGGCTGAATTCAATGGACCCTCACAGTTGTTCATAAAACAGAACATTCTGCAACATCTGAAGTAGTGCAAGTCAAAACATTTATTATCAGGGTTTTCTTTATGGTTCAGTATCTGTGTACAACATTAGGGATCGGTGAACAAACATCACTAAAACAGGAAGGGAGAAGTCCGAAGACACACATACATAATTCTCAACGATCTTAAAGAGCACGCACGCACGCACACGCACAACAAAAGTACCGTCCTAGCTACGGGAAGAGCAATGATGTTGACCCCAGGAACACACCATCTCTGTCTCTGTCATGGGGACTTCGGGCCTTTAGGTAAGCTGTGTGAGTGTGTGTGTCTGTGTGTGTGTGTGTGTGTGTGTGGGCTGGGGTCCCGAGAAGTGAGGAAAGGATGAACTGTGTAGGAGAGCCCATCTATTCACTGCTGACAAGGTCAGAGCTACGAAGGGAAAGAGTCCCCTGCCATATGCAGAGAGAGAGAGAGAGATAGAAGGAGGGCCGGGTGGGGAAGAGGACTTTTTTTCTTGCTTTCGCTCCTTTATGGTTATTCATAAAACATTCCTTATCGTTGTATATCAATTATGAAAAAAGAAACACATACAATCAATCCAAAGGGTTTGGTGAGTCTAACATGATGGGACAAAAAAAACCTCTTCTGTACTCCAGCAATCACCAACTTCATGATACAAATGTCCAGAGGCTGTGTCCATGTCACAGCCCCAGAACATGGGAGGCCTGCAGGAAGTACATGGTAAGCCAGATGATGACAATGCTGCTTTCACAGGCATGAAGGAGAGAGAAAGAGAGCAATAGAGAGGGAGAGAGACCGAGAGGGCTTGGAGGAGTGGTGCTGAATCAACAGTGACCAGTGTGCTTTGTCTTCATTATGATCCCAGTGGGGAGTCACAGAGATGTGTGGATGCCACACACGCATGCACACCTGTGCCAGGGGAAGCACTAAAATACTCCACTCAGCACATCACAAGAGCCATGAAGACACATACTTACTCATTCACACACACAGACACACACACGCCCCACTTGTGTTACCTAAAGAAGAATCCTCTATTCATTCCCCACAGCCTCTTTCTGGAGGAGTCACCGATCTGTAACACTTGTCCTATTGCCTATGTGAGTCTCTGTATCTTTAGTTGAGCATTATGGGTACAAGTGTACATCTCAGTGCAACCTTTCTATGATGTTGGTTGCCTGTAACTCGCTTTCGCTTTGACAGAAATAAATGACAGATAATGCGGTTTTTCCCTGTGGAAGATGGGTAAATGGGATAATGTGCTTTTTGATGTTGTTGCTTCACATCCACACGTTCAACCTTCGTTAAGGCCACTATAGTGTCCTAACTAGAGAACAAAAACTTATACTATCTGGCTCTTATTGAAACGATTGAATATCTATAAAAAACTATACTAAATTTGCCACTGCCTTAAAATTCAGCCATGTATTCATGACCATACACAATACATGTATACCACTCGTTCACATAGACTAACATACCACATTCATCCCAACGCTTTTACTAAACTTGCTAATACTCATGACACTACTTTCTGATTGAAAAAATGTCTTTAAATGGAGCGAGTTAAATTAATTGCAATATTGAATATTTCTAGGTTTGAACAATGTTTATAGCTGTAATTAAAGGACTTGCCCATTTTACCACAAGTTGATATGGTTTCTTGGAGTCTTAATGAAATGTCTGTAACATACTGTGGTCATACTTGCCTGTTCCTTTAAATCACATATGTCAAACTTGCGGCCCGCAGGCCAAATCCGGCCCGCTGCTGATGACTTTGCTATTGTGAGGGATGAGGGACGAGAGGCTGGTCGTATCTTTTTTTTATATCAATTCGTTTTGCACTTTACACACAGAGAGAGGCTCCCGAACAAGTTGAGAATTTAGGGCTCAACAGGACGTTTCTGAATGGTAAGAAAACTTCTACATTTCTTTTTTTGTATGTACAGTTGTGGTCAAAAGTTGACATACACTTGTAAAGAACATAATGTCATGGCTCTGTTGGGTTTCTACATTTTTTCTAAACTCTGATAGAGTGATTGGAACATATTCTTCTTTGTCACAAAAAACATTCATGAAGTTTAGTTCTTTTATGACTTTATTATGGGTTAACAGAACAAGTGACAAAATCTGCTGGATCAAAAATATACATACAGCATGAATTAGCAATTTTGGCGATTTAGAAAGTTGTGTCAATGAAATACGCTTCATAGCATGGCCTCTTAACTTCTTGTGAGGGATTGTGAGTGACTACAGCTGGTGACGTCTCTGAGGCCATTTAAATAGGGCTCATTGGATACAAACGCCCACAAACGGTACAATGGGAAAGTCAAAGGAGCTCAGCATGGATCTGAAATAGCGAATTGTTGAGTTGAACATGTCAGGAAAGTCACTTGGAGCCATTTCAAAGCAGCTGCAGTTCCCAAGAGCAACAGTGCAAACAATTGTATGTATCAGGAAGAAAAGACAAGCTATCACCTGCTGCTGAGAGAAAATTGGTCAGGAGGGTGAAGAGTCAACTGAGAACCACAAAAAAGCAGATCTGCCTAAATGCCAGCATTAGAAGCTGCTGGAACACAGGTGTCAGTGTCCACAGTCAAGCGTGTTTGCACCTCCATGGACTGAGAGGCTGCCGTGCAAGAAGGAAGCCCTTGCTCCAAAAGCGGCACCTTAAGGCTCGACTGAAGTTTGCTGGTGATCACATGGACAAAGATAAGACCTTCTGGAGGAAAGTTCTGTGGTCAGACGAAACAAAAATCGAGCTGTTTGGCCACGATGCCCAGCAATATGTTTGGAGGAGAAAGGGTGAGGCCTTTAACCCCAAGAACACCATGACTACCCTCAAGCACGGTGCTGGTAGTATTATGCTGTGGGGCTGTTTTTCTGCCAATGGAACTGATGCTTTACAAAGAGTAAATGGGATAATGAAGGATTACCTTCAAATTCTTCAAGATAACCTAAAATCATCAGCCCAAAGGTTGGGTCTTGGGCGCAGTTGGGTGTTCCAACAGGACAATGACCCCAAACACACATCAAAAGTGGTAATAGAATGGCTAAATAAGGTTTTAGAATGGCCTTCCCAAAGTCCTGACTTTAATCCCATTGAGAACATGTGGACAATGCTGAAGAAACAAGTTCATGTCAGAAAGCCATCAAATTTAACTGAACTGCACCAATTCTGTCAAGAGGAGGGGTCAAAGATTCAACGAGAAGCTTGCCAGAAGCTTGTGGATGGCTACCAAAAGCGCCCAATTGTGGCCAGTGAAAATGGCCAAGGGACATGTAACCAAATATTAGCACTGCTGTATGTATATTTTTGACCCAGCGGATTTGATCACTGTTTCTGTTAACCCATAATAAAGTCATAAAAGAACCAAACTTCATGAATGTTTTTTTGTGACAAAGAAGTCCGTATCAGAGAAAACTCAAGAGTGCCGTGACATTATGTTCTTACATATTACATACATTCTATGTTCTACAAGTGTATGTAAACTTTTGACCACAACTGTACATTGGCTAAGTTCTCACAGTCTTGTTATCAGTGTTGAGAGCATAGTGATGCTAGTGACTTGAGTACGTAGATAGTGATAAGATATAATTGCTATTCCAAGTGTATCCGAGGTTTGCAAAAAACTAAAGCCTAGTTTATGCTTCTGCGTTTTCAGAGCGATGCAAGGACACACACGCAAGAGCCCCCTGCGTGTCCCTTGCGTGCCTTTTCACCCTTCCTTGCGTGCGTCGACCCATTTTTCACGGAGGGAGATCTCCACAAACGTCGATTTGCCGGTCAAGGGGAACAAAGTTGTGGAGGAAATTACGGGACAAATTTCATAGTGACGAGAGAATGATAAGGAAGCTCGTCACGTTTCCGACGTAGAAGAACCATAACAAATCACGCGAGTTGTTTTTTCCCCACCAGAGTTTTGGTAGACATGCCAGATACCGAAATGAAAGTGTAGAAGCACTAAAAAAGTGGAATTTAGATAATATGTCCCCTTTTACAAGAAATCCTAATTCCTGATAATATCGGCCTTCGGTCAAATATTGTACTGTGTGGTGGCATTTGTTTTCCTCGTGACCAACCTGACTCGTACTGAGGAGGTGGTGGAACCTGTGGGCTTGGGTGGCCTTGGCGGTCTGCTCCTTCACAATATCAAGACAGTGTCTCTCTCTACGCCGGAGGTCCTCAATTTCTGCCAGCTCCATCCTACGGAGCACACACAACATTCCCAAAAAAACTTGCAATCAGTGTTTAGAGGAAGGTTATTTGACAGGGCGCACTGTCAAACAGGAATACGTGGATAGGCGTGCTACAATACAAGATTAATCATTTTACACTGACATATTTGACGTAAATCATACAAAAATATTAGTTAATCATTGTCCCAAAGTCAATGTTTTCAACTGACTGAATACTGAACTAACATTTCCTTTTATCGCAATATTACTTACTATAAAAATAATATTTTTTGATGATACTTTCCTTTTGCGTGGAACTTTAGCTGGAGATACAGCTGACGTTACTTCTTAACACTACATAAATAAAAAAAGACTTGTAGATGCTGGGCAGATTTTAGTGTGTATCTGGGACAGTCTTGTATCATAAAGCTGAACCTCTTCTGCAATCTCCTTCAGATGGACAAACAACTGCTGATGCTGACAGAGAGACTGGGACAGACATAGAAAGACGGAGCAGCTATGAGAGAAAAACTGCAGACTGAGACCGCATGGGAGGAAAACAGCAAAGTGAGAGCGCAAGAGGCTATAAGTGGGAGGATGATGGATATATTTCATCACCGCAGCCAGGACAGGTCTGGCTGTGACATCTGTTAAGCGAAGTTGGCTAAATGGGATGCATTAAAAGCCCATACACAACAATTGCATTTGGCAATCACACAGCCTTATTGTTACAAGGGCGTAATAAATTAAAAAGGGAATTGCAAACAATTACTGAAACACACATGCAATGGAAATGTAGAAAATACACACTCAGACACACAACTAAGAGTAAAGCCAATCTAATTCCACCAGAGCAATACCAATGAGGGTATCCTTCTCTCTTAGTCAAGCTTTCCTTTTTTCTCTCTCATTCTTCTTCACAGTTTTATTTCTCTGCCCAACTTCTCTTTTCAATTACAAGCCTCCACAGAGGAATCAGAATATTCATAGTGTGTCTGTAACGTGAGGTTAACACATTCTGTGGGGAGTGACATTTAAAAAGAAATCACATCACCATTCGCATTGCCTTTGCATTCTCATTCCTTCCTCAGGACCGGATTAAATTACAAAATAAATGAAATATGCACAGCACTGTGTGCAGTGTGTGTTTAGGTGTGTGTAGCAAGTCTAAATGTGTCTGTGCGTGTCCATGCAATATTAAGCACAGTAATTTAAAACCATGTGTACTGTATATATATGTGTGGCTGTATGTCTATATTTGCTATTGCGCGTGTGTGTTTTCAGTGTGTTTATATAGTAAATATAGAGGTTGCTTGGCCTCGATTTGTACACCTGGCGAACAGGGATATTACATATTAATGTAAAATATAAAGTTTGGGTTTAGGTGTGGGACGGTCTGACTCACAAACCAATTGGTGCATGCATATGTTTATAGTATGTGTGCTTATTCTTCGTTATTAATGCCGCCTTAAAAACAGACAAGCTAATGTTTTCGGGGTCAGGAACTGTTCTAGTATGTCAGTCTGTGTGTGAGCTGAGTGTTTAACTTTGACTGTATCAGTGTGTGCATCCTTGTGTCTATGTGTGTGTGTGTGTGTTTGTCAGACTGAATGGGTGACCTTTGCTTCCCTGCCCCCAGCCCCAGTGTTATTAATTGCTGTGTAGTGGACAAAAGCCAAACAGATTTGTAACGGCTGAAGGCACCTCGATCTGTGTCGACCCAACCAGCCGCCACAACATACAACCCTCATTAGCCTTGTTGGGCACGCAGCACATGCACTGAGTGTGCGTGTGTGTGTGTCTTTGCAGAGTGAGAGACTGTGTAGTTGAGTGTAAGAATGAAAGATAAAAGAAGAAACAGTGTGATAAACCACTGGCTTGTAAATCTGTGATATGTACTGATGTGTTGTTGTTGTCTAGTTTATGAACGTACACAGAGGCCTTGGTATTGCTCAACTACTATTTTGTGTACTTTAGTATATCTACTGAGGGTACATTTAGTAATTACTTAACACTTTAAGCTGGAACCTATTTACATATTTGACTGCTCATCAACTATTTACTGAAAACACAGACTTGTTAAGGCTTAAATGAGAAGGGTGGAAAAAAAATGCAATGGTACACATTTTGTTAAGAATTTGTAAATATTGATCAAAGCCTTGGTGTGTTTCCTCGCCTTAGTCATATTAATATTAAGTTTAAAGCTAAAAACAGAAGTTGGAAAACAGTTTTGGCTCATTATTGAAATTCAACAATAATCAAAGATTTTTTTCTGCATTTTGAGTTAAAATCCTTTAGAAGCAGACAATTGAAATCCTTACATATAAAACCGTCCTATTTTGTCTCCAATGTCTGACATTAGAAGCACATAATCTCCCTGTGGCTAGCAATGAACTGGAGAATTGATTTCAGCAAGTAAATGGAGTCATTGTACAAACTGATTTTGTTTTTAAATAAACTTTTATGGAAAATATATTTTAAGTTGATAGGAATAAAGGCTATTAATATACAGTATATTTACTTAAAAATATATCAGTATTCTAGATGTCCTATGAAAGACATTTGATTACAGTTCAACTTATCTTGCACTATGGCTTCATACAATAATGGCATGCCATGCTGCCACGGCAGCCTCTCAGTGCCATGTCCTAGCAGCTGTCTGACTCCAGATTACTTTTGATGGCTGGTGAACTATTGGACAAGGTAATCCAGCATTCATAAACTACTATAAAATAATTGAAACTCAGACTGACACTTTCACCCTGGACTGTTAACTTATTTAAATGGCTAATATAGAACAGCTAAATTTCTCACTTCTTCCTTAATAATTTACTATGTAGTTCAAAATGGGGCATCAGGGGCTGATGGGATATCAGAGTGAAGCATTGTGGGACAGCAAGCCACACCTGTGGTCCAGGCCGGCAACAGAGCAGCTAATTGGCCGGTTTCTAAATATTTAATGGAGGCTTGACCTGATTGGCTGTTTGATTGCTCCAATTAAATGATTCAATAGCTGGCAAGGAGGGATAGTCAGCCAGTCGATTTAAACAGTGACCAGCTCAATGTATTGAGCCTTCAACGCCCTCGTAACACAGCCTATCATTTAAGGGATTGATTAACTAATTTACTGGTACACGTAATAGTAGAACCTATGTCACAAAAAAGGGTGCTCGCAAGAAATGTGCCCAACTTTTAAATAATCTTCAATCAATATTCACATTATTGTACCGATAACAGGAAACATTCACAATTTCATGAAATATACATACTTTTCTGCATTCTTTTACTCTCCAAAGTAATTTCCTAAAAAGGGAGGGAGAGGAGAGGACCCGGATTACACTTCAACACGCACACACACACACACACACAATAAATAAATCCAATCAGACTGAAGGGGGGAACTTGTTTCCAATAAAACTGGATCAGAAAGAAAGAGCAGCAAAAGAAAGACTGACACAAAGAGTGATGGCAGGGCGGGTGTGCAGGCAGGCCCACAGTCTCTCCACCATCTCAGTTCTCCTTTCATGAATGTCCTTGAGACAGACACAAGAGAGGGAGGAACGAAGAAGGCTGAAGCAAAGAGAGACAAGGGAAGAAGTACAGAGAGGAAGTGAGACAGCATGGCACAGGAGGAGGAGGAGGATAAAAAAAATGTAAAAAACGAGTGCAGCTCAGCCTCGCAACGGCAAGTCCATAAATTCTCCCTTGTTCTCTTTAGAATAAGATAAAAAGATTTAGCCATGTCGTGGCGACATCACAGGCACAATCATCTATCTGATTATGGCAGCAATAATTACCCAGCTGTTTATTGCAGATAGAGGAATAATTCATGCAGTCAACAGGCTGTGTTGGTGGCGGGAGCGATGACACCGGCAGATTTAGTAAATATGCAAAGCGCGCCGCCTCTGCTTTCCTAATTGCCCCAATCGTCCCACAGCATGCCCTTATTTAAGGCGCAGGAACTTTAAGTGTCCCCCTGACAAAGTGATGAATTGTTGGGGTATCAAGGAAAACCATGGCAGAGTGCGGACCGCACCGGGGTCCCGACTTCATTAGGCTACGCAGGAGCAAAGGAAGGATGAGTGTGAATGGACACCGGAGAACAGAGAGCGAGAGAAAGACAAAATAGAGAGAGAACAAGAAAGAGAGCGGCATAGGAGGCTGTTATAGGTAGCATTTATTAGCTGGATGCCGTAACTAATGAAATGACACAGATGGTTCCGTACTTTGAAAAATTGTCATGGGAGAGAACGAGGACTCAAACAGAGTCAGAGGGAAGGGAGAGAGGTTCGGAAGTCTATGTATTAGTCCTATATCATTACCATGCGCAGCCGATCAGCCTGCACTAAATGGGGACCATTAGTCCAACTTTCAATAATTTATGCAGCGGTTTGGACAGACAGACTTACAAGAGGGAGGGAGCAGGCTGGTAGATTAAAAAGCAGACCTTTGCGGGGTGAGTGATCAGACACCGTGCGATCCGAGGGCTCAGCAGCCAACACAGAAAGGATATTTTTAATAAACGCCTGCACGGCGTTAATTGATCGTGACCTCAGCAGCACTAAATAAACATGTGATTAACTTGAGAGAAAGTGACCTCAACACCCTAAACCATCGTGGAGGAGGGGCTAGGCGCGGGTGTGTGTCTGGATATTGGGGATGTTAAACAGCTGATAAGGATCTTGTGCTCCTTGAATTCTCCTTTCTACGGATATTTACTTACTCTGATCTTCCACTGCTCCTTGTAGTGTTTTTTTTAAAACACACTATATAAAAAGGTGGTGAGATTGGAAAGATTAGAATGTTACGATTTGCTCTAAATGTTCATTCTGAATACTTTTTAATCAAGTTTGATAATTAATAGCAGTACATGCAATTTAATCATTCAGTGGCTGCAAGACGTAGTACAAAAGGACCCATTATATTCACAATTGTACCGGTACATTTTTGGTCACAATAATTGACAGAGTTGTGTTGGTTTGTTTGTGTGTGTGTCTGTCCTTGTGGGATATACAACTGAAGTGTCAACGTTCTTAATGGACTTTAACAGCCTGGTTCCCCCTACCTCTAAGAGGGGCGATAAGTGTAGGAAAGGTTGAACGCTCGTGGGGGAGAGGCAAAGTCAGTGATCCAAGAAGCACTTTAACAAATTTACATTTAATTTTAGCAGAAGCCTAAAGATATTTTCCCGGTAAAATATATTAGCAGTATTAAAAATGTGACTTTTAGCTATACGTGATGTTTTTTTTTGTCAAAAATAAAAGATGGCGTATCTCTAGCAGTAAGCCCTGGAGCAAAGGATGTTTTATTAATGCACGAGCTGTGGTTCAAATCAGAGGCTAATTTTTAATTTCTTCACATCGCTCACTTCGCTCTCGATTAGCCCTCAGCGCTTTAGAGTCTCTCTCTAAAGCCAGAAAAAAAAAACTTTACAAAAAGGGGACACCCCACTGAGGAACTTGTGGTATTTTTTTTTTTACCTGACAAGTTCATTTTTCCAGGACAGTCCTTCCAGATACCTCTTGCGTTCGTAGAAGTTATGGACATACTTCCTTACAAAGAATCCTCGCCATCTCCGCTGGATCTAAGGGATTAAAGCACAACAGAGGATCTCTTGTCTCTTAAACAGTGATTCCAACCAAATTTAAAAGGAGGAAATGCACATACGCAAAAGCATTCATATTTATAAAACCTTGCTTACGCCAGACAGTTTTATATATATATATATATATATATGTATCACAAATCAATGTGTAAATGTGCTCCATTTGCCTCCTACACGCCCACAATAAACCACAAATGGTCAATGCAAATGTCACTGCCTTTATCCCTTCACTGTGTTAATTTAGACAATCGTTTCGTGCATGTGTTAAGTTTGTTCACATTACGTACACGGAATCTGTCTGTGTAGAATAAACCCTGAATTAATAAATTAAGTTGAAAACTAAGATTGGACTTGATGATATATGTCTAGTATTAGAATATCATTGAAAATGAATGATACTCTCTTCTGCAGTTTTGTAACGCTTATTATCTTACAGATGGTGATCATTGCACCAGCTGCTCCACAGCTGACCACGAATGCACAAATAGGACTGCTGGATGGACTCTTAATGATATATTAAGAAAATATACAAGTGCAAAGTAACATGTGATATGAATTGAAGTTAATTGTGAGAGGCATCCTTAGAATACCATTAACATTTCATTACTACAGTATGAGCTTAGTTCACTGCATCCCGTCCGGGCCACCGGTTTCACGTGTTTCTTAAATGTTTGTGTGGGTCAGAGTTTACAGGAGTGCCAATTCTGCCGTCAGGCTTGTTTTTATAGATCACAACTTTTGTGAGGGAACCAGCGTACGCCTCTTTCGCGGCCTGTTTTCTGCATCAGCAGCGGTTATAAATGAGACGCCAGATGTTTTCCAACAACACGGGATATGGAAGATCTGGTAGTGTGCCAAATTTGATGATTAATTAAATACAAATATAGAATATATATACATAATACAAATAATTTGATCCAGATAGCAAATATTTCAATAATGAATACTAAATAGACATGCTGTTCACGGACAGGCTTAAAGGTGAGATGTAAGGTATGGCATGTTTCGTTATAGCGAAGACCTATAAACCTAAACTCGCAGACGACACATAAAAAAAAAAACAGCAAAAGAATAAAAATGTTGGTACACTTTTAAAACAATCTTTAACTATATATGCTGTTCTTTTTCCTCTGCAGTGACAGAGGGACAATTCAGGGGAGACAGCTGCCACTGCTCCATATGTTTAACTGTATCCATCTACGTTGATTGGGGAGGCTGCAGATTAGCTGGCGCACACACACCACTGGACCGTTTTAAAGCGAGGGGGCGGATGTCCTTCAAACTAATTAGGAGATTAAAACAATGGCAGGTAAAAGAGTAATCACACTGTGCGAAGAGGGAACAGGAGAGAAGAGGTGGAGTGGAGGATGGTGGAAAACAACAAAGAGCAAAATGAGAATTAGCATTGATCTGCCAGTCAATAGATAATTTTAAATAAAGTAATTGCCGCCTCCCGAGTTCTTGCTGACCTTTGTTGACTAGTGAAATCGATGCTGTTGAATCTAATACAAATCCGAGGTGCGGCATGTAAACACTGGTTTCTATTACGGCCCTAATACATTATCCTCTGTTAGCTACCATGCCGTGATAAAGACAACAGCACGGGAGGAAAAAAAAAAAAAAGAAGAGAAGAATGAAAATTGATTCAAAGGAAGTATCACATGGGGATTTTGAGATGATTGTTGAGATGATTATCTCCATTTTTTTCTCTTTCCCTCTTTCTCAGACTTTGAAAATGTATTTGGTAACGATGGTCTGTGAGTAGAGATGTCCTTCAGTCCTTCAGTCATTCACTTTTCTCTCTCTCCCTCCCTCTCTGATTATAGTGCTCACAATCCTACCAGTATTAATCAATGAGATCCCAAACCATACTAGTATACTTCTGATTGAAAAATGTCATCTTTCAACAGGTGGCATCACAAAGAAAGTACAGGTTCAAGTTTCACAACACCCTTTTAGAATGTAAAACTAGTGTTAATCTTTTGGTCAGGTACCAAGTGTTTCAATACCAATGTGTATGTATTTTGTGGTGGGAGAAAATTGGAGCACCCATGCAAACCAGGTCATTTGGACACAATGAATTGCAGACTGTGCAGAGAAAAGCTTAATTTGGCCCACAAGGGGTTCAAACCCTTCTTGAATTTCTTAACACAGAGCCAGTGTGCTGCCATTTCTCATGTTTCATTTTCCATTAACATTCCTATTGCTTCCTTTAGGAAACTGTGGTTATGCAATATTTAATAAAGACCTCTTCTCCAACTCCAACTTCAGGCGTTACTGTGACATTGCACCTTACCCTTCGCCCCACGACCTACAAGAGCTACGTCAAACGCTACCAGGGTGGTCAGTTTTATTTGTTTGGATTATTATTAGGTGTAAAACTCAAAGCCCTCAATACCTGGGCTGTTTCACCAGTATGAAATTATTGCAACCATTCCTCTCCGTATGGATAGCAACACAGCCTCTTTGATAAACACCAGTGGGGGGTTTTGTTGGCCTATAAAGAACTGTTCATATGGAATTGTAAGGATTTAGGAGTTAAACAGTGATACCTGCTGAGGAGTGGAAAAGAGGAAGAAATGCAAATAATGTAGTTTTTTCTTAACTCCAAAGTGAAAAATTATAATTAATAATAAAAAAACTAATTGGAATTTTATCTTCTGTCTAGTATACTTGAGTTGTATAGGCGTAAATGATGTATTAAACCAAATTTTAAAGTACTGTTGGGCTTAAGAAGTGAGAAAAAAACAATGTCAGCTAGGATTCTAGAAGTTTTCGGATAACCAGTTTTTGCGACGAAGTGGTGGGATGAAGTGCTTACAGGTTATTCATGGGGACTCCCATTCACAGCACACACAAAGAAACAGAGTGCCCCCTCTCCACCCCCGACACTCCATTTGCTAAAACAAGACACCATGGTGATATTTACCCTGACCGCCATCTCCTCGTAGAAATTCATCTTCATGATAAAATATGCCGCCTGTGAACACAAAGGAAAAGATGGTGTTACATCTTGTCTCCCGGCCCTCTGATCTGTCCACAGCAGGCGTCAAAGATAAAGAGCTCTTTATACATAATACATTGCACAGAGGCAGCACAGATAGGGCCACTGTAGGGGGGAGGGAGAAGGGAAAGAAAGGAGAGAAGGAAAGCAAGAGGGAAACTGTAAAAAAAGAATGGAAGTCAGAGGGGTGTAGGGAGAGAAAGAGAAAGACAGAGGGAGGGAGAGAAAGTGGTTAGCGGGACTTTGCATCAGGGGGAGGACAGTATTCTCTTAATACACCAACGCAGACAAGGGCCAAAAAAATCTATGATAGTCAAGCAGCGGGCTAATGGAGATGTATGACGGCCAAACGCTCTCCTCTGGATTTCATAATCAATGACAGCGCCGCCAGAAGTGACAAACAAAAGGCCAGAGAATATTCAGCGGGTGCACTCAACCAGGCGCTGCACACCAAACGTGTCGGCCGACCACTGGGGGCACTTTCTGGGAGCAAACTGGAGAGTCGGCCATAAAAGGGATTCATATCTCAACACTTCTTTTTTAATAATGACGGGGAAGAAAGGCAGGAGAGGAAAGGGAAGGGAAGGGAGACAAAGACTTGAAAGGAGGTTGTAAATTCAGCTTGATGCTTTGAGACGAGGCTTTGTGCACGTCACATTCCACATGATAAGGTCCACAGGAGTAGGAGAGGAAAAAGACAGACGGAGAGAGAGAGAGAAAGATAGAGGCAGAGGAAAAATATAATCTCTCAGGGCTAATTCAAAATAGTGCTCCGTGGCAATTTTGAGCGATTCAAATTAGTGCTCGTCTGGTTCCAAATGAGACCAAACAGCCTCTTTTTAGCACATACGTGTGTTGTGACACATCCTTCATCGTTTATTTCGACACCCACCCCCACCGTTCATCCATCCGTCCCCCACCCCACCCCCCTTTCCATTTCTTGAACGCCTCCCAAACGGCGGCTGGCAGTTATGCTTTAGCAAACAGTCAATTTACAGACATGATAAATAGCTTGTTGTGATATGTTTACAAAACTCAATCCAGGGGAAAATTATACGTGAGAGAGCTGGGTATTGGATCCGGTATCAACAATCTGTTCAATTAAGAAGCAGTTGGAGGCAATATGCTGAGAATAGGGCCTTGTTTTACCAAAGCACACACATACACACAAACTACTCTACTCTCTCTTCCCCTCTCCACGCCTTTTCTATCTACATCCCAAGAGCTCCAATATAGATGGAATTCCTTATCATATTGCATCATATTTCCTAAGTGCTAATTTCCCAATGTGTAATGAGTGAATTATATTTCTTAAGGTCAGACGCAGAGAGTTAGGAATATGGCAATTGAATTCTAATGCATGCTATCATAACATAATCAATATATCTATAGCCATTCCAGGCACTGGCTTACCTTCACCATTTGTCTGAAACGTGCCCTTGCTGTGAAGCCCCGCCATATCTTCTGTATAATGATTGCCTTCTTGTGCAGGTGACTGCAAAAAATGTCAATTTAGGGAGATGATTGGACATGTATAGTTCAGTAGTTGAAATGAAAGAAACACCCCCGAAAAGTTATTCGGATACACATTGAAGGAATATTAAATGTGTGATTCTTTTTGTTTCATCTGTGCTGAGAAGTTACATTATTGAGTCCAAAAAAGTGAATCCTTTGAATATTCAATTAACATGAGAAAACTAATATTAACAGCTAAAATAATGTAATTGTATATAGCGTAATTTGATTAATGCAATCACAAAATTATAAAGAAAAGAGCGCTTTTGTTTTCGGAATACAAATGTTAGGGGTTGTACGAGGTCTTCAATTAAAAGGTCACGGCAACATTTCACTTACAAACACATGCTCTAAAAAAGACAGACAAACACACACACACAGAACATTTCTGCTCAAGGCTTTTCGATCATGTCTGATGGGCCTTTCACCCCCTTTAGTCGGTGGCACACATTTGTATTCATCTTCAAACATACTCTAAATGCAAGTCCGCTGCGATTCTCTGCCTCCAATGAGGCCATCAATTTCCAAAAGGCCATTTATATGCCCAGAAAATCAATGCTTATAGTGGGGATAGCACAACCCCGGAGTTGCACTTAGGCAGCTAAAATTGTTGCTAATTATCCACTTAACGCATTGATCAATTAACTAAAGTAATCTGAATTAACCTACTGTCTGGAAGTTTGTCTGCTGACCCTGTAGAATGGTGCTGGGGTCACAGAATAAGAACAAGCACAGACATAGGGACATTCATTTCTCCGTGTGTGAAAGGGGCACAGAGTGCAAGCGACATTTATTCCTCCGGGCCATTTGCAAAGCTCTAGAAGTGGGATAATTATGAGAGTGAGCCAGTATCAGGGTTTTCCTTGAAATTAACTCTTAAGAGTCCAGCCAGAACGTTTTTCAACCCTGAGGGGGGGGGGGCAAATTGGTGTATAAAATATTAAGGCCTGTGTTATTTTACCTATGGCATTTGATAGAGTAGTCATCCATAACATATGTGGTTTACATAATTCAACTGTTAGCCAGATATTCAAATATTCAAATTGTTGCCAGCATCATACCTGAGGTAAGCCTGCACTTTGCAAGCTCTGAACCAGCTCTGAATCCGGGTGGCGGCCTGGTTTTCCCTTTGTCTGTTCTCCTCAGCTTGGCTAGGCACAGGGTCACATAATAATATTGTTTGGTAACGTTAGCGATTATCTCACATCACATATTTGTATAAGCCCATCATTATGACACAAAGACATTATATGCAACTGTAGGTTATTAGCCACACTTTGCTTTGGAGCTCATCCTGTTTGCTCTGCAGGTGCTTCAACGTTTTAATTAACGATAACTTCGACATGGCCCCACTGCCAATGATGCAATTGCACAATATAGCTACAGTCAAACGTTTGGACACAGTTTCTCATTCAATTTTATGAGAACATGAGTCGAAACTTTTGACTGGTACAGTAGGTTAACTATCGTTAACTATCGTTTGCTGGTCGGTAACGTTTTAGTGTTAAATATACGACAACTAACGCTTAACGTCACGCGCTAACTGACGTTAGCTAGCAGGGTTAGTGCTAAAGGAGGAAGGCTTGAAGTGACCCTTTAGCTAACGCTAATGGTTAATTGAGTCAATGCTTCAAAAGCCAAACGTTTTAACTACAGCCACATTGTAATATCATGTCGTAGTGAAACAAACCTGTTTCTGAAGAAGTATTCCTTTCTGAAATTGTCAACTTTGCTTTGTATTTTCAACAGCTCCGCCATTTTTCCACAGGCTATAGTTTACCTGTTGTCTTGACAACAGTGCAGCTTCACAACGTGATTGAGATGCGTTCGAAGCATCTCTGGAGAGTAGGAATTTCCCTCAGGAAATAAAGAGTAACGCTGTCCTCACTGACCCGGTTGTAACAAAGACACTTTAGAAACAAAGACACGTTTGAAAGTATCTGCCTTCCGTAAGTGTCAATATTTGTCGAGATTTTTACATTAAAGGCACCTGCTCATATTTTGTAACAAGTGACTACCCGATGTGAGCTTTTTTTATATATATATATTTATTATTATTTTTCATGCAATTAAAAACAATTTTAACAGATATTCCTAGGTAAGCATATTCTTTAAAAAATAACAAATAAATAATAAAAAACTGTATCTTTTGGAGGGAGGTGAGGGGGGGCTGCTTCTTAAAAAGCCGGCTGATGCAGATTGTGGATCGGAGTATTGATCTGCCAGCTGCTTCGCTTCTTTCATCCATCCCTCCATCCGTTTCCCTCCTTTACTGACATTATCACCCTTCATCATACAGTTATCAGTTCATTTCACCCTACTCTTCCTTATTTCGTCTCCTACTCGTCACTCATTCATTCCTGTAGATTAACCTGTCAGAATGATCACCTCAATAGAGTTTCTATGTGTGTGCTTGTGCGTGCACTTGTGTATCTGTGCAAGGCAAGGCATCTGTCTGGCCAATGGTCAGAGGAAAATACTGTCTGTATTATAAATCATATCCTTAGAGACAGGTTTGACAAATGGTGAAAATGAATGAACGTGTGGGTATCCGTCTCCACGCTCTTTCATGTCTGTGTACCGGCATTCTTGCCTCTCAGGGAGTGGGCTTGTTTCTCTGTTTTCTCTGTTGTTCTCACAGGCCAATTTGCCGTCTGAGGGCCACCACAGCGAAGAGCAGGCGTCAGACGTCCTAGGTAGAGTTATAGCTGGAGGGGCGAACCCACGGTGGCTCAATCCATCCATCGTGGGGCAGCAGGAGGGCGGCCACCCTGGTAATTACCGCAGAAATGTTGTTGTGACAAGAGATTTTTAGGGAAGTGTTGTTTTTGACGAGAATATAAGGACGGCTGGAAGCCATTCGTCCTGCCACCACACTGATTAGGTGTCACCAGGAGTGTATCTGTGGGAGAACAAAACAAAAAGAGAGAGAGAGAGCCCTTCATAAAAAGACATCATGTTTACACGCTGGCTAATGACCCACTTCTCGACCAAGACAGACCATCATGCTCTCCACGTCCCTCAGCTCTTGTATTACACTCTTGCATCAAGTTCCTTCCCCTTTGTCTCTATTCTTCTTTTCTTTTGCTCTCTCCAATTTTCTTCTCTGTCTACTCTCCTTTTTCAATCTAAACCTTTTTGTTGCACAGAGAGGGGATCATTCCTTACTTTGGATTACCCATGGATACCCGCTCTCTCCCTCTCTTTCTCTCTAGCTCCATCTCTCCATACGGGGCATGTCATTTAACATGCCTCCAGTCACCTCTCACAGTCAGGAAGCTCATCCAACCAGTCATTCCCCATGCCCATTGTTCCTAAATGAGGGCCATATGCGCTGTGGCCAGCTCTGGTCATAAATACACGCACACACACACACACACACACACACACACACACACACGCCAGGGGTGATCCCAGTGTCTATGGGAGAATGTGTGTGTATGTGGGATCGTCACACATTGCTTTACATAGTGCGTGTGTTTAAATAAATATTGTGTGTGACAATGTATGAGTGATTATATGAGTGTCCGTGTATGTGGGCCGGTCTTTGTGTGTCTGTGTGTTTTCATACAGCCACAGTGGGGTGCAGCCAGTGGAATGTGTGTTTCTCGGCAGGACCAGTTCGGCCATTATTATTAAACATCTGTCCGCAGCACATTAATTCCCCCACTCTGACGCATCCCTCTCTGCCCAGGGATCACTTAATTGAAATCCATAATGACTCTTTCTTCTCTTCTCTCCCACACTGAGTAAAGTGAAGCTGGAGAATATATGTCAGACAGAAAAGGAAGTTTCTATCATGCCACCAGTTTCAAACTAACAAACAACACAGGGATTTAGTGTAAAAACATAAATGATGAGGACAGTATATCCAAAAATATTTCACAAATGAACCAAATTAATTAGTTGGAAAATTTGGGTGTTGTTGGTCTATTAGTCGCTTTACAGTTTAGGATATCAAAAAATGACCGACCAAAGCGAAGAATTGTGATTAATTTCCTAGTTGATGTTAAAGAACATTTTTTTTGAGAATCAATTAGGTGCTTGTAGCGAAAAATAACATGTTCAGCTCAGATGGCCGCCTGCATGATGGATGATGGCAAATTACTTTAGTCCAGCGTGGTACAGACCATCAGCCAATAAAGAAAACAGGAGAGCATGGTTGCCTCCTTTGTAAAGTTTTTTTTTTTTTTTAAGTTATTTTGCGCTGATGCAACATTAAACATTGTACTGCTCCACATGATTACAAACCAATAACGGGTTGAATTTGTCTTGTGTCTTGCTGTGAGTGTTTTCACGTCCACTAGCTCCCAGTTTAATATCAAAACATCATTTCAATATATCAACTTTCTATTTTAACAACGTATATATGCCTTTTACTATAAGTTGACTATTATGCTATTATGTTAAATATATCTCTGTTAATTATTCTGTTTTGTTTTCTATTTTGATTCATATTTTCTCAAAAAGCGAGTTTTTAGGAAGTACAGTGTTGAAACCAGAAAAAAGTTAATATTCATTTTAAACTTTAAGTCAATATTGATCACAAAAAAAATATGCACATTTTCGGTTCTTTAACATTTTCAGTCTTTATTGGACTAAACCATTTTCATCATATGTTTGTAGAATCTTGTTACAATAATTTATGGTATTTTCACCTTTCACGTTATTTTCCTCTCAATTAAGATACTCTATTACACACCCAGAACTAGCTCCAAAAAGTGATTAAATTGAGAACGATGCAGTTAGAGCTGATGTTGTCTTTGTTACACTCAATTGTTATTGAAAATATAGAGGAGGCCCCTCAAACCAAAAGTTTACCTGCAGACCTCAAAAGACCAGGAGCTGGCATTGGTTTTCTTAGAAAAACTATGCAAATTGCTCCTTGATATATTCTTCCCGGGGCTGCTGTTACTTTTTACGGTGGCAATGCTTTTAAACCAATTTGAAGCCATCTCTTTTCCCCCTCTCCATCCCATCCCCTCCCACCTGTCCTCATTCCCCATCCTAATATCCTGCTAATGGATAAAAACTATGATTGTACCAGTAAAGGAGAAATATCATACCTTTATTAGCTGCCCTATACCCACAGCGAGAGAGGGAGAAAAAAGGAGAGAGAGAGAGAGAGAGAGAGAGAGAGAGAGAGAGAGAGAGAGAGAGAGAGAGAGAGAGAGGGTAAGTAATGAATTGAGCATTGTGTAAAATAGTTTAATGCAGGGGTGGTTCATCATTATTTGTGGCGGATTTTGTGCAGACAGGGGTGATCCATTAGTATGGTCGTTTCCATCTGTGTATGCAAGTCTCAGTGTGTGAATGCGTGTGTGCGTGTTTGTGTTTGTGTGTGTTTGTCCCACCCAGAAGGACATTTGCTGCTGCCGGCCCCACTGTCACAATGAGAGATTCATCACCACACACACACACACACACACACACACACACACACACACAGACTGGCTACAGTACACATGTGGCATTATTGTTCCATCATTACTCATCTCATTCTTCTTTTCAACAATTTGTCATTTTGCAAGATGCATATGGCAGAATGTTCATTCTCTTGATGGTCAAGAATTACAAACAATAGATTAGATTAAAAGAAGTCTAGCAGTGCCAAATTAGAAATCATATTAAATATTAAATTACATTTAATTTACTTTCACAAACTTGGCTATAGTTGTGTAAAGTAAGACATTGCTCAATGGTCTGATACAATTATTTTGATACCATTCCATTATTGAAAGTTATTGAGAGTCAGATTTATTAACTGATCTTGAGTGACACCCCAGTTTTGTTGCAAAATAAAGTAAAATCACTCCATGCACAGTTTATTGCTTTAAAATTCTGATAAAAACCTTAATATCTGTAATCCATAGTAAGTTCCAATTATTATATACGGTTCTGTATATTTGCTCAAATGTGTGTATGTTCCCTCTGCAAATATATATGCAAAGTTTAAAATAATGTTTTCAATGCTAGACAAACTACCTTTCTACAGTAAATGATGCGTCTGCATCAACATGATTGCAGTAGCGCCATGCATTACAAATAAATACTTATTGAATGTGGCTGCAAGAATTTCTCACCAGTTTATCTTATTTGATAACAATCTTTTTCATTCAGTTTATTGCAACCAAACAGAAAGAAGGGTCAATTTAATAAAACGGCCATCAAAGCGGACAGGGAGAGAGTCAAGATAAGAAGAAACATTTTTAGTTGCATGATTGCCACATTCGATGGCCATTTCTTTACCCCAACACGTCCGCACTCACTATTGTCATTTCAAAATAAAACCTTGAGTAGTTTTGTTTTCCAAGGGACTCAATGATGGAGAGGGAAAATAAATCATCCAGTGCATACTCTGATCGTGGCAGGGTGCAGACACGCAACTGAGGTTTCTCTGTCTCTGCCCTCTCTGCCCTGACTTTACCACTTACACTTCACTTGTTCTTTTCATCTGTTTCTGACGTGTCCCCTATTACACTCATCTCTCGCTCTCTGGGTCTGATTCACTTTCTTTTGCTTGCTCTGTTTGGTTTGCATTGCTTGTACGGTTCTCTCTCTTTCCCTCTGTGTCTTTAACATTAACCTCTTTCTCAACCGCGGCCCTCCCCAACACAGTGGTTTTTGCTGCAATTATGACATTCTGAGCACCCGCATAACAAACCTTTGGAATGCCTGTGTGTGCATATATCTTGTCACCACGAGAGCGAGTCTATTTTTCTGCGCGGTCCCAGCTAATTGGTTGGACCGCGAGAGAGACGGGCTGGAGAGGTGACCAGATCTGACGGTGAGTGTGTGTGTGTGTGTCAGATGTCCTCTGGCATGCCTCAGAGAGCTAA